AACACTGAACCACCTATGTAAAAATAAGGTTTTTTTTTCCCCAGCAAATTTCAGGGAAAATACAAAGGCAGAAAGACGGATCTGTGTGTCTCACCCTGATTTATTGAAGTCAGCTGGCTCAAACAGTGGCAGTTTCAGAGCAGAATGTTTGAAGCTTGGGAAAGGGCAAGTTGTCCTCACAACAGTCACTCAAACAAATAACCAAAATGGGAGATAGAAATATTTCTTCATAAATCAGCAGTTGGAAGATCAGAATTCTCATTGATTTCTGTGTACTAGGATGCACATGTCTTCTTATGCTTCCTTTCAGTTTCTAAGGGACACGGATTCTATTTATACATGACTGCAGGTAAAAGCAGAGCAATTCTAAGCAAAGGCAGCAGGAGCCATCATCATGGAAAGAACCAAGATAGAGTAAAGCTGAAGCAATGAAGAGGGAAGAGTACAGATGTCCAAGGGGCACATGCCTGTCCATTCAGCATAGGCAAGAAAAGAGGAAGAAACTGGAAACTGGGAGTATTTAAAATTAATTTGGCATTTGTAGCTCACAGGCAATACACAGAATTGCAATACAAAAGGGACTGGTAATGGTGCAGGAGCCTTGATGGCCCCTAAAGAAGCTGCTACCCCTATTTCCAGAGGCAGCATGCTATTTAAGTAAAATTTTCCTTTTTTTTTCTTTAACACAGTTCTTTAACAATGAAATAAAAATTTGTGACTTGAACTTCCTTTTAATTTTATCTCTCCGTAGGATTTTCCCATGCAAATTTCTGTTGCTTGTTCCCTGGGAACTATACTTCAGCAAAAATAGCCCCTTTAATGCAGAATTTTAACACTGAATATTTGGATGACTCAACAGAAAAGCCCATATTGCTCTATCCTGCCCTGAAATTTTCTACCCACTCATAAATACAGCACGTTCCCATCTGTGCACCGCTCTCACTGTGACCTTACTAAATTTTCCCGTTCTTTTCTGGTGTGAGTACAACTTGGTGCAGGTGTCCAGGTATGGATATCAAAGATCCAGGTAACACATGGCAAACAAAGTCTATATGAGACAGAAAAAAGAAAATACAGTATTTTAGCTACAAGTTTAGGTGAAGCATTCATCCGATGTGTTGGACCTGGAAACATATTTTTGTCTCATCCAGCCTAATTTCTCTTGGAAAACCAAGGCTTTACAAAAGATTTTAAATAGACTTGGGTGGGGTGTGGGGGGTGGGGAGTGGGAAAAGAGTCCTCTGCAGTTTCTTAATGCTTGAAATCCATTCCTGAGTACTTTTGTTCCCTAATTAAAGGTAACCTACTGGTTTGAGAACAACTGTTAATGAACAGTTTAATTATCCAGATGACAACTATAAAATCCTACTCCTGTGCTTGAATATTTTAAAGTAACAAGGCCCAGATTTTCAAATATGTGCTTGTTACTAAGTACTTAGACTAAAAACTCCCTCTGAAGAAGAGTGTGTACATGCAATTCACATTTGCATACACAATGGGAGATTACACATGACCCTATTAAAGATGCAAATCTCTGAGGAGGTTTGCGTGTGCTTACTTGACCATTTGAACCAGACTCACCTTTCTTTTCTTTTCTTTCATTCAGGGAGGGGAAGGGATGGTTTAAATTATTCCTCGAGGATAAATCATTTTGCATTATTAACTCTTCCGAACAACAAAGTTGCATAAATTAAATGTAAGATTATCTACTGTGTCCTCTGTGGAATGATTAGGAGGGAATCTACAGGAAAGAAATGTGGTCAAATGATTTGAAGCCTTACTAAATGGGATGCAAAGCCTCATCTTGCATCCTTAACAAGCTCAGATGTAGACCTGCCTTCTAATGAGCAAAGCCTGCTTGGCATATCTATCTGTACAACCCCAGAGCAATGTTGTAAGGAAAATAGCTCATGGTTCATTTTCTCTACTGAGTCAGGTTTTTGCTTTTATTGATATTTTTGACTGTTTGCTCCTATTACCTTCATCTGTGGTAACAATTTTTGAAATTCAGCCTTTAGCCCACCAAACTGAAGTGGTCCTATTTCTCACTTCCCGTCACAACTCTGAGGTGTTTCCTGTAAGTCTGAGCTAGGTTTTGACTTGGTTTCCTTGTTACCTGTGGCCTGTCTCTCCTACAGTCATGTTCATATGCAGACATATGCTTACTTGCCTGAACAGAAGACTCAACAAAACAGAGCTCCAAGCCCTGGCTATGAAAAAAAGATTTATATCATATTTTGTAAGAAGTGAAAATTAATATATTTGTTAAGACAAATACAAGCCAGTGCCACTAAGTTATCTGCTTAAGAGATTTCTAACGTACCTTTTGGTGCTTTGTTAACTCTCCATGAGGCTACAGGAGGTTTTTCTTTCAGAGTCTCTCATCAGCTAAGTTTCATCTGTAGGTCACAGTGACCCGACTGTGGAGGCTGTGCTGCATAAATGGAGCTCTTCAGATAAGCAGTAACATTTATTGCATACTTCATCAGCATATCTCTGGCTGTACACTTGTTCTCAAGGCACTTCGCTTTGATATTGGTTTTATTAAAATAGATTTCAGAAAAGAGAATGTAAAATAGTTTAAAGATAACACACACAAACATGTTGTTCCGTGCTGAGAAAATCCACACCAGACACTAGCAGGTTCTTTTTTTTTTTTTACGTTGCAAGCATAAATAAAATGTATCTTCCTTTTTTTTCTTTATTATACTGCTTTCTTCAAAGGAAAAACACTGCTTTAAAAAATTGCTATAAACAGACCAACGTCCTACATAGGTAAAGATACAGATCCCACAGTTTGGAAGATGCTTGAAATTAAAATCGAAATAAGGAATTTTTTTGCCTTGGCAACCGCACAGTCAGCCTCTCAGCTTTGGAGCTGCTGCCACAGCCTGGGCTGCCACTGGACCTCCTGCACAACACTTGTACGTGGGATGACATGAGCCTTAAACACTTCTGTGCTGTCCTTCTGCTAGGGACAAGGCATAGTGTCCCGTTATCCAGGCTCTACTTGCTCTTGAAGTATCATCCCTTGTCTCCTCTGGAGGAAGAGCCACAAGCTGATTGGCTTCATCCCTTGGGCCCTTGTGTGACTCTGGCTAGAACACACAACCATGTGAGGTCTAGTTAAAGACGTCCCTGCTCTCTGCAAGGGGGTTGGATCTGATAACCTTTAAAGGTCTCTTCCAACCCCAAACATATTATGACGGTCTCTTTTCAAGAGTATTTATTTGTAAAGCATATTTGAGTTGGTCCTGATTCTGCAAACGTCTGGGCAATGGTTTTGCATGAGGTAGATGAGCAATATCAAGCTCATATGACTGACATAGCTATGAGAGGATTTACAAGATGGTCTTCCAGACTATGCCCGTGGAACACAGGTGCCAGGTTTCATCCTGTTACTGTTGCAAATGGTCAGGGCCCACACAAAAAAGTGTGACCTGCTACAAGAATTTGCCCTATTTATCAAAAAAAAAAAAAGGGCTAGTATTTGTGAAAGAACACCCCTAATTCTTGGCCCAAGAATAGATTCAGGAGCCTTTTTTTTTTAATTGTCACTGGTATATTTGTTATTTTGGAACATCATCAATCAAATGTTCCATTGGGGTGGGTTTTAGTGGCTGCACACCAGTATGCCATATATGACATAAAGCATTCATGAAGAAATGATTTCTCTGAGTAGTCAGAAGAGCTTCCCAGAGACAAACTTTCTTTCTTGTTTCACTCTTTCATTCTTCCTTCTCTTGGATCTTGGAGGGAGTGTTACTTGTGTTGAGTAATGAAATCCTCCCCCCCCCCCCCCAACCTTGCTATCTTTGATCTCCCCTGTTTTATGCACTAGGGAACTGATACTTCCTTCCCTGGCTAGGACTGAATGAATAATCATCTCCTGTAGTTATTCGCATCAGGTTCAGATGCTGAAATGTGAAGCTGATGACAGGGGAAATTATGGATAGAAGCATCAAGAGCTGCTCTGAAATTTTAGGAGTTGTAGGCAGGAAATATTCAAAACACATCACATTTAACCATGAAGACTCCAAGGGTTTACAATATAATGGGGTAAACCCATGAATTGTTTGTGGGGTGGGAATGAAGCTCTGACTCCCATTCTTGTGTTTTCTTTATGCCCACACACCCACACAGACACACAATCCACATAAGAAAAGCCTACCCAACCCTAAATCTGCTCTGATTTGGAATTATTAACCCTCAAAATGTTTGATAATCAAATCATGTTAAAAGTCTACATATTCACTGAGATGTTATTAAAACCATTTTAAAATCAGAAATCTCTATTAAGAGTGTTCTTTTTTTTCTTTTTTGTTATATGCAGTATGTGGTTTCTTTCAGGTTTTTCAGTCTGAACCGTCATCTCATAATGTGCATATGAAAAATTTGGGTTTTTTAGACAGGAAAGGAACTTTAAGGATTTCATGAAAACTTCTGTTTGGATTTTCAAAAGCCATATCTGGATTTGTCATCCTTTACATAGCCCAGGCAGTGTAATGCACTAATACTGCTGTATGACAAACCTGCGTCAGGTATCATGTTTGAGCAGCCTTAGCCCAGGCAGTGTAATGCACTAATACTGCTATATGACAAACCTGCATCAGGTATCATGTTTGAGCAGCCCGTTAGCCCATCTTGCCACAACCAATGGGCCCAGATACATAAAAGTGATTTCAACCCAACTTTGTGAGACCAACTAGAGAAAACATCCCTCTTTCTATGAAGGATTTCTCCTGCGCTTGTTCTTTTGTCACCTTGATAACAAACCCCAAACCAAACTCCTTGATCCAAACTCAGATGAAATCTCATTCTCTGAGCCTACCAATCTAGATTGACACAAATTGTGCTCAAAGTGACACTTCTTAAGGCAGGTCCATGCGGTGTGGAACAGCAAACATCAGCATAGCTGGAGATGCCTCCTGCCTCTCTGCTGTGGTCAACAGAAATGGAAACAACACAAGATGTTTTCACTCCTAGTAAGTCTGCTCTGAAGGAGGGCTTTAAGCTGTCCTTCTGTCTCCTGTAACCCCCAGAGATGTGATTAATGAGAAGAGCTAATTACCTGTCATCGTGGCATGCTTCACGGGCAAAAAATTAATTCTACATCTTTTTTTTCTTTCAACTGTACGTAACCACTATTTAATTCTCAATAAACATCTAACATCTTCCTAGAATGAAGAGAATCTCTGCCTGTATGGCAGGAGATACCAGTTTATAATCTCATTTATTTCTTGAGACAATTTTGCCAGAACACTGTCACATACTGAAGTTTTGTTCTTTGTTCTTCAAGAACTGATGAAGATGATGTGTCATCTCTGATGGCTGTTCATTGAACAAAAATAGCAAAGTGGAAATATTTTTTTTTCCTCTTAAAAAATAAGTTTACACGCTATGATGAAGTCATTATTCAAATTCACAGTTGAAAGTGATTATCACACTGCCTCAGACACAAATTCATGCAAACATTTCAGTTCAAGTGATTCAGAGGAACCAATGAATAAATAGTGCCATCACTGTTTTTTGATGCAGGAGGGCAATGTCCGTTTCTCGTGTGGAAATTATGAGCAGATGAGGAGGTTTCTGTTCTGTAAATCTGGGCTTGCATTTCACAGCAACCAAACTTGCTCAACAGAATGAAGAAATCCCTGCGGAAAGTCTTTGTGAAAATGGCATAGAGGAAAGGGTTGGCACAGGAGTTGATGGGGTAAAACAAGACCAGAAGAATCTTGGATTTGGACACTGTTATGAGAGGAACCTTGAGTGAGGCTGATATTGCAAAGAAAGATATTGGTGCCATGCAGAGGAAGTCCGTGAAGATCAGTATGGCCATGCGCTTGGCAATCTTGGTGTCACTGTTTGAAGAGACGACATTAGGGTTTCTCACAGTGAAGTAGATGCAGATGTAGCAGACACATATAATCACAAATGCAAGTACATTCAACACTAAAAGAAATATAACATAAGCCTGAGAAAACGGTGTTTCTATATCCATAGGCAAACAGATGCTGACCTTCATGTAGCTGCTGACTCCAAATATGGGAAGAAGTGCCACTGTGAAAGCAAACAGCCAGCCAAAAATCATTATAATCACAGCATGACGAAGTCGAACCTTGCGGTCTAGTTGCATGGCGTAGGTGATGGTGTGCCACCTTTCCAGAGTTATCACAGTCAGTGTGTAGACTGAGAGTTCACTTGCAAACACTGTAAAAAACCCTGCAGCATTGCATCCTGCCCCAGTTTGCCAGTCTATGGCATAGTTGTAATACTGGCTTTTGGTCTGGATATCTACAGATGCAATGAACAGCAGATAGATACCTATGCAGAGGTCTGCAAATGCAAGATTGCACATTAAAAAGCGTGGTACGGTGAGTTTGTATTGACTGCTTATTAAAATAATGAGGACAACAATGTTCCCAGTGACAGCTAAAATGCTGATAAACCATATCAGGACTCTCAGAATGTTGTATCCCATGATATCTTCACATGGATTGAAAGCATCAGGTTTAGGTGAGCAAGCTACATTAACTACTTCATTGCATAAACCATAGTCAAATTCATTCTCTGCTGGGTCAAATCCTATGCCGTAGTTGGAAATATAATCTTCAGCCGCAGATCGTGTATGTATCTTATCACCAGGCTGCTCATCAAGATCTTGCTTGGCCTGAGATATGCTACATATCGGATGCAAGTCAGTGCTGAAATTGTAAAAAGAGTAGAGTTGGAAACTAAGAAACACAGCATGAAGCATCCAACAAACATGAAATCATCCATTTTCCATTAACAGCTTGGGTTTTTTGGGTTAGCTGATTATATAGACTACCCTGGATCTTGAAATTAGTAGTCTGGCTGGCCCCTATTCATAAACTATTACATGAAAGTGTAAATTATTTGGAAACATTATAAAATGTAAGGGAAAGGAATGCCTAATGTTTGCCTTACTAACACTCACAATGCATTTATCCACCTGGATAATGCATTCTGTAAGAAGCCTCCCTTATTTCAAATGAATTTCTCACATAAGTTGTCATTGATACGCTGATTTCTGCATGTGGGAAGTATATGATGATGAATTCTGATGTAAGACTGAACTTTGAAGAATGATTCAGTTTAGTTGTGCCCATAAGGAGCTGTATAATCACAATAATGCTACTATCCCTTAGTATTACACTCAAATTCCCGTCTTCTAAAATTTTTGACAGTTGGTATGCCATATTCAATCTCGTATTCAAACTCGTAACATTGGGGCACAGAACAACTCCAGTTTGTGCCATTCATTTTAAGTATCTCGTATCATATTAGTAATTGTCCAGTAACACAGATAAGTGACATAGATAAGATAATGCAGGCTTCCACGTAATCTCTAGAAGACAGCTGCCAACACAGATGCAAACTGGTAGTACATTTTTTTCAAAGAAAATGGATTAAAACCCAAGTGAAGTGAAGCAAAGCCAAGCCACACAGAACCAACCCAACCCAAAATTTCTGTGGAAACAGCAGACACTTTTGTTTCTATTAGAAAGTATTTTTTTAAATATTCTGAGAATTTTCAGTAGCAAAGTTAAATAAAGGAAAATAATTTCAAGAAAAAGTATCTTTGAGGGTAAAACTAGTATTTCCCGGTAGTTTTGTGTTTGGCTTTATTTCCTACAGTATTAATTCTATGCCCTTCTCCATGCCTAGACCAACTGAATAAACAAATGTCTTGGCTGAGATGACAGAAAGATGATCAGCTCCATCAGGCTAAGAAGTATCAGGGTGTATCAATGGGAAATAAATAGTCAGACTTTAACAACTGCTTCTCCTAGGTCATCTTTGAAGTTTACTGTCCCAGAAACTTGCATTCATAGCTTTGCATAAAATGGATCCAGAAGACCTAATCTTAATTAGGGAATAAAACAGCTCACCATATGTTGGAAAACCAATACAATTCATCTCTGCCTACTTCTATCTACAGCCGAGATGGCAGTTTAGGTATATAACTTCTAGGACAGGACCTCAGCTTATCTTCCACCCTGACTTGCAGTACAGTTGAGAGAAGAGCTTTCTAAGCAAGTTAGGTTGAAATTTTTAGACAATTGGTGGCAGGCTAAAAGGGAGAATTCTTTGTAACCTAATTTTACCCTTTGACTTTGTGCACTCACTGCATGTTCTAAAAATTGAGTTTAAAAGGTCTGCAAGGAAGGAAAACTAATGAGGGCCCAGCAGCAGAAGGTGAGGGACATTTCCTATGAGGTTCTGAGCATCCTCTACTATTATCAATATTTTTTATCTTTCCTGTCAACTGAGGCAGAAAACTGATTTTCCGTGAGGTCAAATATGCACTATGAAGGTCACAATAGCAATAACAAGGCATTACATTTTGCTCCCCTGTGTTCTGCTCGCATAAGGATGAGTGAGGGGTCCGGTGTATTGATCAATATATCAACAGTTCTCTAGCTGAAAGCGAATACATGCTTCCAAGGAACAATAATGGGAGAGAAAGTCCCTCAATTCTGAGAGCAGCAGGCACTTGAGGGCACTGAAATCTACTGCAATTGGTGATTCTTTATAAATGAACCAAGGGAAAAGTTTTTATCTAATTTCTTAGCTATGAGTTAAAAATAAACCTTTTCTCAAGTTACAGAGGCACTGCCTGTAGCTGCATCTATCCCTTGGTACGATTTCTATGTCAAGCCAATTAAAGATTTCTGATTATTGCAATTTATTAAATACTGAATTATTTTATGGCCAGCAGTACCAAATAAAACTCGGGTCTCATGGAATTAGCTGCTCTGTTTTCTGCCAGAATGAGAGCTGGTCACCTGTACCATGAACAGATAAGATAGGTGGCTGCAAAATCCCAAGGAAAAGAAAAGCCATCCTCTCCTCTGGTACTGACTGCTTAGCCATTCTTTGCCCTTTGGGCTGTGCAGTGCATTCAGAGCAACAAGTCAAAATATTTTTTTGGCAAGGAACGGGTCTTTGCTTCCTTCTGAAATGATAGGTGTCATAACACAGTTCATTTATTCACTCCCTCTGTAACCTTCTGTTACTGTTCAACATCGCTCAGGTCAAGTAAAACCTTTGAAAAAATAGACTAGAGAAAGGACAACTTAAAGAATAACATGAAAATTGGAAGAGTGCTCTGACAAAAATAAACAAAAATTACCACCTTTGTACAAGTAGTTATTTTACGTGTTTCGTCTGGATCCAGTGACAGCAGGCTCTTGCGTGCTGAAAAACATACTCAGTAAAATAAATAGTCCTGATCTAGGTTCTGTATTAAGCCCTATCTCAAACCAATCACGCTCACAGAAAAGTGACACCAAGTGAATTGTGAGCAACTGATATTACATTCTCAAGAGACGAGGCCCAAACATGACTCCTGATGTTGCCACATTTTTTGAAGAAGTAGGATTTCATGTGACAGCTCCTCCAAAGAATAATGATCAAGTGTAAGGACAGAGTCATATCAATGTCATTCTTTTAGGCAGAAGGTGAACTTTATGTCAAAGAAAGCCAAATGCTTGCTGAAGTTCATAATGGTCTATGTGAAGTCGAGGTTTTAACATCCAGTTTCTGCCATATCTGCGCTTCAGGGATATTATTTCCCAGTCACAGAAAAACGTGAGGAGAGTTCAACACACTGTACTAGGCCTGGCCTAAGAAAGCAGTTTAACTTCTGTTAGGTCAGCATCATGGTACTCGAGTGCGATAAATCTACAGATCAATATTTATCAAATAATCCTTTTTGGAATGGGGAAAAAACCCCAACCAAAAAAACCACACCGGAATTACCTGTGTTTTAATTTGTGTCTCAGTCTGGTGAAGCTGTGGTTGATGAAACATCCTCCAAAATTTAGAAAGCACTGCTGCTGTAACAGGTTTAAGCTTTCTGTTGTCACAACAGTGCCAGTTCAGTACTGCGGAATGGTCTGGGAGAGGGGATTGAGCATGATCCATTATGGCAACTTACTTTATCTAAGGTTCTCAGGTGCTGCAAAAGCCTCAAAGAGGGGAAATCTAACATAAATGGGGCATCCAAAAGGGGCCACACATCCGTGACTTAATCCCTTCCCAGATTTCTCACATGAACACCAACTGTCACGGTGAAATGCAGTTCTAGAAGTGATGAGGCATCATTTTTATTCTCCCTGGACTAACTGGAAGTGTTCTGAGACCCAAATGGTCTCAGGAGAACAACCATCTGCTGTGAAGGTGTGTGGCAAGTTGAGTCACATCACAGTTCTAAGCACCACAAGTGAGGCCCGCTGAACTGAACCCAGCACAGCTCTCGTCAAAGAAATAATACACGTTGTGTCCTCGAGCACTGCAAACTATTAGTAACACTTAAACAACCTGGGAAGTCTTCAGGGCACGTGCAGGTTGTGCCAGCTGTCAAGCAAACGGCTTTGATATGAAAGCAGGTGTAGCTACTGTACGTGTGACTAATCTCTGCTGAAATGTGTGGTAATACCCCCGGTATTTAAACTGAGCTAAAATGCATTAGCTTTCTCTCTTTAAGCTGGAGAGAGGATATCAGTGTCCCACCAATTTCATTACAAAATACATGACTGTATGAAAGAAATTACCATTTTTAATTATGTTTTAAAGCGGTTGACAGGGAGGGTCGATCTAAATAATTGGTTCTAATAATTTTGAATTTATGCTTAATATTTTGTAAAAGATACATCTTGTAACTATCACAGATGTACATACTCAACTTCGTTCTGTTGACCAGGGTGATACTGTTCACATGCACATTCATTCAAGTAATCATCATAAAGAAGAGCATCTCCAGGTTGCACACTATTTCTTACCATAGCATCACACCTGATGCTACAGGGGACTGTGTAGTTATGCCTCCAGAAGTAGCTCCACAATTTTTTTCTACCATGGCAAATCCCAAGTCTTTGAGGACATCCAGTAAAGGAAGAACTTCAAACACTAACAGGAGTTTCTGTAGGTACCGGTTCCTCAGGTTTCCCAGTGGCACAAATTCAGGATGTTCATTAACTAGCTAACATGTACATTTAAAGTTTGTCTGATCAGCTGAAAATACTAAATGAGAATCACTGATACCAGAAGCGTCACTGCAACTTGCTAGTAGAAAAGTAAAACGAACGTGGAAAATTGCTTTGGGAGTCTAAAAAGACATCTTACCCTCCCATTCCCCTCTGTTGATTTGGGTAAAAGGGGTCTGCTCTAGCTTAACCGTTTCAGAACTTACATCAAAAAACATAGTGTATGTAGACTCGACAGATAATATATCTGTGGCGTTTGCTTGGACAGTGTTTCAACATCAGTGTGGCTTTCTGAGAGGAGAGTTTAAGATCAGTCAGCGGTCCTGTTACCTTCCTGAATTGAAGGCAAATTATTGAGCAGCTTGTCTGCAAACACAGCTTTCCTTCCAGCTACCTCCTGAAAAGCTGTGAAACTTTTCCTGTTGAATGTCTTCAGTGTGGCTCCAGGCTGATCCAGGATGGCAGGTCCCAGAGGAAGATGTACAGGGAGGGACTAGAGCCACAGATGAGGAAAGCGCTGATCCTAACACTGCTATCAAAAATTTATTACTTCCCTGTAATGGAGAGTCTGTGCACTCGACAGCATGCATAAACCTCTATGTATTGCATATATATTTATTTATTTCTATCCACTGACTTACCTGCACCGAGGAGACTTTTTCTATCCAGATTATGAGGAAGTGTATTTACTTTACTGTCAACTGCCGAGGAGCACCAAGAAGAAAAACAAATGAAACCACTTACTTTTGTCTTTTCCAGTTTGTAAATGCACAGCAATGGCTAGGATAGGTGAAGTTTGCCTCAATCAAAGATCTAAACTTGCTTAAATCAGGAAGCTTTTTTAAATTATATGTAAACCTTGCTCTTAGCTTCTTAATGAGTTCTAATCCATGACTTGGCAGGAAACTGATCCTTGTCCTTGAGATATCCCTTTAAGAAAACATATGAGAATTTCATTAAAAAGCAAATTTACTTCTGTTTGACAGTGGATATGTGTTTTAGACTATCCTACTCATTCTCAGAGTAATGACTGGAAAGGCACCAGCTGGAAATCTTCACTGAAAAGAGGATCCAGGGATAAATTAGGTGTTCTTCCAGGAAACCCGAACTAATATCCTTTGCAAACAACAGTTAAGTGATGTTAGTCTGGTCTGAAAAAAATGAAAAAATCCCATAACTCTCTGAGCAAGAATTAGTATGAACATAAACTGTTGGTGCCATATGATACTAGGTTAAGTAAATACCCAGCAAGTGCAACAATCATCCCAGAATACTGTTACAGGATAAAAAAAGGCTGATGAAATCACAACAGAAATTTGCTACTTGAACATCACATCATGGTGAGGCTGCTGTTGAAAAGGCAATAAGTTCATGTAGGGGTACAGACATGAGGAGAGGTTTTGTACTCATTAGGAAGAAAAAGGCATTAAAGAGAGACAGGGGTGACATGGTTCAAACTGTGAGGAACAAAAATAACAAAATATTTCCAGAGGTTTAAAAAACCAAAGAAAGCATAGACTGAAGTGTAGAAAGGGGAAAGATTACAGGAGGTTAGGAGAGATGTATTTGTGTAGAAGGCAATTACTGTGTGGGACAGGCTATCAGAGGCAGTAATGGAAGCAAAAGCTACAAATATATTAAAGAGAGCATTAGCAGGGCTTTTAAACAGACACACATTGTACAAAAACTGAATCTTGACTTGTGCCATGCAGATGGGGAAAGGGAGGAAGGACCGAGGGTGCTCCATCTCCAGGCAAGGAGATACTCGGGAACCCATCCCCATAGCTCCAGGGTGTAACAGCTGGGGCAAAGTGTCCCCATATTTTCTCTCACTAGGTATAAACCGTGTCCCTCAGACTGAGGGACAGCAGGAGAGCACACTCATTTCTCTTAAGAGCAACATTAAAAATGAACTGCAGAAAATCACCCTGTCCTCCCTTAGCCCCTGTACTCTTATAGTCTGAGACTGATCTAGGATGCAGTGTTTGCTGAGGCTGCTCTGCTCTTTATTCTCTGACAAAAGAAAGGAATTTTCCCTGATCAAGGAATTGGAATGACAATATCTGTAATTTTCTTCAAGGTCCCTCCAAGGTACAGTTTTCAATTCATTGGTCAGTACAATGTCAGGGCGTGTTATTTGATCTCTATTATCCAACATGCACAAATTGTTTTTATTATTGTATTAATGCAGTAGAGTGGTGCCATGTGAGCAGGAAAACAGGCTTTAGCAGCTTGTAATAAAGTTTAGAGAGTTGCTATGTACTGTATGCACATCTGCACCTCTGTTCTAAGAAACAAATTTCATACCAGGAAATGGTTATGTTTTAACTCAATGTCTTTATCTTAGCTTGCCCAAATCTAACAAATTCGTAGGAAGTTAGTAAAGTGGTTAATAAAACTGGTGGTGGATAAAGATGGTCTTCGTGTCCATGCTGTGCCCACAGCCAAGGCTTTGATACACGGAAGGCAGAAAAGAGATGTACCACCTTCAGCAACTGGACCATGAGAAGTGGCAGCAGAGGAGCAAACCCAGACCCCAGCCCATTACTGTGCTCTGGGGTCATGACTTCTACTGGAAGGGCAAGACAGATCGGTGGAGTCAGAAATGTCCTGAACTTTTGCAGGCAAGGTGGAGAGAAACCATGCCGTGGTTCTGAGGTTGTTCTGGACCTGTCTCGTTTCCTGCAGAAACTAAAAGAAGAGGCTGATGAGAATTTTTAGCTATTGATTTCTGACTTAGACACTTGAAGAGGTAATTAGGTTGCAATGAGCAACCTCGATTGTTTTGTGGACTGACTATTGGCCTTAGTATGCTGCCTGATGAAAACTGTCACCTAGAGTATATGCTTGTGACTCAATAACTAAACAGCAGTTTTCTGCCTAAATCTACAGACAGCTTCACTCACGGCATCATTACGAACCTGTGAAGCTTCACAGGGGCTCATAATTCTGAGTAAGAGCAAAGGAAAATGTTTTCTTTCACTTGTTTGTTAAAAATCATTACTGAGTCCAAACTGTTATTACACTGGGTGGAAATAACAAGTAAATATGAATATCACTGGACTTGAAAATAGCTAAAATGTTACTGGATCTCTGGGCATCTTTAAATAATTTCATAAATATTAAATATTTTCCCATGAAAATATTTTCTTCTTCTTCAAAGAAAATAATTCTTTTAGTGGTCATTATTGTACGTAAATAGAAATGAGTTAGGAAATATACTCTGCATGCTCCCGCAGAGTTTGTCGGTATGTCGGTTAGTAATAGTTATCAATACACCTCTGAGAGACACCCAGACAGCAAACATGGACATTGTGCATGTGGTTTAGTAACTTAGTCCACTGAGTCACCACACACAGACCTCAGTGCAGAGGTTCTTTGAGATGTTGCTCCCTAGTTAGAGCCTTGATAAATTAAGCATGGTAAAGAAGACGATAAAGTGGCAGTAGGAAATCAAACCAGAAAGCACTGGCGACTCGAATACGTGTTCTAGTGTTACTGTTGCTTGGCTGCTAGTCATCAGCCTTGACAGCAGCCAGTGCAGGAACAGCAAAATAAATCTGACTTCTCTTCCAATCGCTTCCCTTTCCCACTGGGAGTCTCTGTTGGATTAGCAAAAATACCGACGAACTGATGATGTTTGAAAGGCACATACGGAAATAGCAAATGGTTGGTGGAGAAGAAATCAGAGAGGGGTAGACTGATCGGTGAGAACAATTTTCTCCACTGATTCTGGCTGTGCTTTAGGGACTCCGTTGTCAAGCTGCGGATCTACTGCAGCTCTGCTGTGGCCTCCGTATGTGGGGTTACTGTTGAAGATAAATTGAAAGAAGAGGATGGACCACAGCTACACCTTGCCCTACATCCGAGTCGGGACACAGCCAAAGAACTTGAAGGGACTTCAGTAAAAGCTGGTGTAAGCCACTACAGTTCTGGGAACACTAGAAGATGAATAAATGAAACAATATGGCTAAAAATTGAAGCTATGACACTCCAAGTTGGAAATAGAGTGTATTTCTATATAGAAGGAATATGTATGGTTGTGAGAGCAATTAGCTGTTTGATTTACTTGCCTACTGTCAGTGCCAAAATTCTTTAACTTAAAACTTGATGTCTTTCCAAAAAAGAGATAGTCTAATTCAGCCAAGAAGTGTAAGCCTGAGAGAGGAATCGATTCATGAAACTGAGTAGCCTGTAGAAGGGCTAAGGTCAGTGTTTTCTGACATTATTATTTGTGTTTGTATTTCACATTATTTTAATATGCTGAATTATAAAATAGAAGTTGGTATTAATTGACTGTAAAATATTGGTTCAGGAAGATCAAGAGTAAAAACATCCTGATGTTCATTATAATAAAGCATTGCAGTCTGCAACACAGATTTGATTGCAATAACATTATTTGTCCCAGCAAAGATATGATTATGGGTCAATCATTTCCACAAGTGAAAGCACGTTCCTGGGGTACACTACAGTGACGGATGAGTAAGAAAGCTCTTCTTTCATGATCTTAGTCAGGATTAAAAGGTAATTTCCCATCCATAGAATAGTGGATGTATTGGTAATGGAACAGAAAACTTCTTATACAGTATTAGAAACTGAACTATCAAATGAATCTGAACTACAGCCAAATCAATTTGGTAAACCTCCAGAATATGATTGCATCAGCTACAGCTTGCAAAGAAAATCATAGAATCATAGAATCATAGAATGGCCCAGGCTGGAAGGGACCTTAGAGATCATCTAATCCAACCTCCCTGTCATGAGCAGGGACGCCTCTCAACTAGATCAGGCTACTCAAGGCTCCATCCAACTGGCCCTGGAACTTCTGCAGGGAGGGGGCAGCCACAACGTCTCTGGGCAATTTATTCCAAAGTCTTGCCACCCTCGTACTGAAGAATTTCTTCCTAAGATCCAATCTAAATCTATTCTCCTTCAACTTAAATCCATCTTCCCTTGTCCTATCAGTGGACACGTTTGTAAAGTCCCTCCCCAGCCTTCCTGTTGGCTCCCTTCAGGTATTGGAAGGCAGCTATTAGATCCCACGGAAGTCTTCTTTTTTCAAGACTGAACAATCCCAGTTCCCGCAGCCTGTCCTCCTAGCAGAGGTGCTCCAGCCCCTGGATCATCCTTGTGGCCCTCCTCTGAACACAATCCCACAGATCTATGTCCCTCTTATGGTGAGGACACCAGAACTGGATGCAGTATTTGAGGTGGGGTCTCAAAAGAGCCGAGTATAGGGGGAGAATCACCTCTCCTGATCTGCTGACCACGCTTCTCTTGATACATCCCAGGATGCGGTTGGCCTTCTGGACTGCATGAGTGCACTGCCAGCTCATGCTGAGCTTCTATCAATCAACACACCTAAATCCTTCTCTTCAGAGCTACTTTCAA